TTTCACTTCCTTAGTTATGTTTATTCCTAGGTATTTAATTTTTTTTTTGAGGTTATGGTGATTGAGATTGCTTCCTGATTTTTTTCTCAACCTGTTCATTATTGGTATATAGAAGAGATAGGTTTCTTTTTTTCTTTTTTTTGGCAATACTGGGGTTAGAACTCAGGGCCTCACACTTGCTAGGCAGGCGCTCTACCACTTGAGCCACTCTGCCAGGCCCGAAGAGATAGATTTCTAATGTTGATTCTGTGTCCGGCTAGTTTGATGCATTTATCAGATCTAAGAATTTTTTGGTGAAGTCTTTAAAGTCCTTTAAATATAAGATTGTATCATCTGCAAATAGGGACAATGTGACTTCTTCCTTTGCTATTTGTATCCCTTTTATTTCTTTCTCTGGCTAAGTGAACATCCTTGTCTTGTTTCTGACCTTAGAGGACAGTCTTCCCATACAGGATGCTGCTAGCTATAGGTTTATTTTATTTGCCTTTACTGTGTTGAGGTATGTTCCTTCTATTAGTTTCTTCAGGGCTTTTTTCATGAAGGGATGTTGAATTTTGTCAAAGGCTTTTTCTGCATCTATTGAGAGGATCATGTGATTTGTCTTTTTATCTGTGCTTGTGCTGTATTATGTTAATTGATTTGCATATGTCAACCATCATTGTATCCCTGAAATGCAACCAATTCAGAACAAAGGTGTTTCACTTTAGTGTTGGGTGTTACACCCAGGGCCTCAAGCTTGCTAGACAAGTAGTCTACCATTTGAGTTTCACCCACAGCCCTTTTGTTTTTAATTTGTTTTTTGAGTTAATATCTCACTTACTTTCCCTAGGCTGGCCTTAAACTTAAGTTCCTACTGCCTCTGGCTCCCAAATAGCCGGGATTACAGGTATATACCACCCCACCTTGTTCTCTGCAAATAATTTTTTATCCCAGATGAATTTCTTCCTGTCTTCCCCTCATGTTTTGATGATGGAACTGATCTTTAGTATCACTCTAAATGAAGCATCATTAAGAAAGTAAATGTGCTTGAAGAGTAAAATTCACTATTATGCACTTCAAAGAGAACATAAAATAGATGCTATTTAAGATTATCTGTAACAGATCCTGCCAAATGCTCACAATCAAAAGTAACTAAAACTCTCATTTTTTATTTTTCTTTCTTTTTGTCTTGAGGCTTTCTTATATTTGTCTTCTGGTTTACCCACAACTAGCCAGTATTTCTTTAACTGTATTATTTGGGAAGGAAGATAGGGGTGGATTAGTTTCTTCTTTGATTTTTAACTAAAATTCATTAGATTTGGGGATTAGAAGACAATTGTAAAATAACTTTGTATTGTCTACCCTAATTATAATTACCCTAATTATAATTCTGTAGTTATTTTAACATTATTGCGAGCCTTTAAAAAAAAACAGTTAAATGTTTGTGTGTTTTATATATTTCAGACTCAGGTCTAAAAGTTTTTCTTTAATATTTTCATATATTTTGACAATTTTTATTGCTGTGATATTCCCTTTGTCTTTTCTCCTTTATACTTTCTCTTTGGTCTGTTTTGCTCATCTCGTCATTGGGAAATCTTATTTTTGTAGAACCATTATTTAGGGGAAATTTTTCCCAGTTCATTTACTTCTTACTTCATGTTAGACATTACCCTAGCTCTTGAGGGTGCAGAGACGAATGATAGCTGGGGCCACTGAAGGAATTGAGGAAGAAATTGGATCCCTTCCCTGCAATATCATAGATACGTTAAACTTAAATATTATTAGAGCTGGGGGCGTGGCTCAAGTTGTAGAGTGCCTGAGTTCAAACACATACTACCAAAAAAACCCTTAAGTGTTAATAAAAATAAACGATTTTCACGTAAGCTATTAATTGTTTGGGAAATACATAACTTAGACAAGAACAAGGAATAGGAATATTCCAGTTTTATTATCTGCTATAAATAGCTTGGTCAGTATACTTATGTATATACACATATTCACATTTGCACAAATATCATGTGTCCATAACATTCGTACTATTTGTCAAGATGCTTTTTACCTAATGGTACATTGGAACGATTTTTCCATATCAGTCATATTTACATAAGGATTATTTATTTATTTTGCTGGTTTACAGTTTACTTTAATGGCTAACCAAATGGCAGTTTCTTTTTTTTAACTATCATATTGTTTGCTGGGGGTATATTGTGACATTTACGAAAGTGCTTATAATATATCTTAAATTCATCCTCTCCATCATTCTCCTTTATCTCCTTCCTCCCCCCCCAACCTAAGAATAGTTTCAGCAGGTCTCATTTTTCCATTTTCATACATAAATACATAATTATTTCCACAATATTCACCCTCCTACACCCTTTCCTTATATCCTCCCCCCTCCCACTGGACCCATTTTACCTTCCTGTCCTCTGTTTTTGAAAACAGACATTTTTGTTTAAGATAGCTATACAAAGAGTTTCATTATGACATTTCCATGTACATATGTATTGTGTCCTGAAATGGTTATTTTTGATAGTCAAATTATACTAAAGAAAAACTATTTCTCTATGCATAACACTTCCGTTTTATTTTCCACACCAACAACCAGTGCTTACATTCTTTGTGACCTACAGTTTGATTCAATTCTGACACTACCTGATTTAGCATGAATTCCATACTTCACATACTTCAAGTAGTAGGTTCCCAGGTTACCTACACATCTGTCCAATTTGGTTGCAAATGAAGGGTTCACGCAACCTCCTCAGTTTCAATAATTAATTGTAATGGTTCAGAACTTGGAAGCACTTTTCTTTCACCAGTTTCTTTATAAGCGATACAAATGAACACACAGATGAAAAGATTCATAAAGTGATGTCTGGAAGGATCATAAGCATGGGAGCTTCTGTCCTTGAGCATCTGGACTGCACCACTTTCCTGGCATTTGGACAACATTCACCAACCCAGAAGTGCTCTGAACCGCTCGTTGTTTAATGTTTTTTGTATGTGGTAGTGGGGTTTGAATCCAGGGCCTAAAGCAGGTGCTCTACCACTTGAGTCATCCTTCCACCCCTTGTTCAGTGTTTTTGATGAAGGTTCTGTATTGGTAGAACTGATTAAGTCATTGGCATTAGTAATTAGCCCAGTCCCAGCTCCTTTTCCCTCCCTAGAAGAAAATTGTATCTGATTATTCCCCCCTCCCCCCTTTTTTTCTAAATAGGTCAAACTTTTTCACATGGTTATGAATCATTTTTTTCTATAAATTTCCTGCTTTGTCTTCTGTTCATTTCTTTTTCTGTATTGTTATTCCTTTGTGGTGGCTTAATATGCAAAGAACCATGAATTTCATAAGTTATCCTGACTAAATAAGGCTAGCTAAATTTAGGAGACTGGAGACAAAAAATTGACTAAAAATTTTGGGGAACCTACTTATATAAAATTATGCTGGCTGAATGGCATAGAAATATGAGTTATGCCTAGGTCCTGCATAAATAAATTACACTCTAGACAGGGCAGACTATAATATGGTGAGGTAAATAGAATTACGTATAATAAACACATTCATTCAGCAAATATGGTCGAGGCACTACTCTGGGCACTAAGAATGTAGCAGTAGACAAGGAATACAGGAATAAGTTCTAGAAAATAGTTGAATTAGCCTGTGGCGAGGTATCCTAAATATTAGAAAACCAACTGTAAAAAAGTAGTTTTGTTTAGAAACTTACTCTGATTAACTACATGGTTATCTAGGATATTTTGTAACTGATTACCACATTGCTTTATAATTCTATTTGTCAGAATTATAAATAACATTTCAATTCTCTGTTGATATCTAACATGTAATAAACTTCAAAGTTACATATTGCATTTGCTTTGGATTAATCCATATTAGCCCTACAAGATCTATAAAACTTGACATTCTTAGCAAAAGCAGCAGAGTGCACAAATAAGCTTTACAGTGATTTTCAATAATCAGTGTCTTCTTTTTAACACGTTTGAGCTTAATTTAATGCCTGTATTAAAAATAGATTAAGTCAAGCTAGTCCCGTTAGTGAAAGAAAAAGAAATGGTACTGTTTAAATTTTAAACAGAAGTAAAATTAAAAACTCGTATGAACATAAAGGTGTGAAGACCTTTTTTGTACTGTCACACTAACCTTTACAGTTAACTTTGGGGTATTTGCTTAAACCTAAATTTTGTTTGAGTACTAGTTTATGTTTATTATATTTTCAGAAAAAAATTATTTTTTGTTTCTGTCAATTCTAACACAAAGAAATATTTTTTGCACTTTCAAGTTGGATGCACTAGGGCTGGAGATGTAGCTGGGTGTGGAGTTCTTGCCTAGAATGTGCAAGGCCCTGAGATCAATTCCCAGAACTTCAAAAATAAGTGAAATAAAATTGGATGCATAAATCAGAAGAAACTAAATGAACTGACTTTGTCTAAAATAGTATATTTCCATTATTTATTACTATGTTTATAACACATTCCAAAACATAGTGGGTTGGAGCTCTAATTGTGTATGTTTGTTTATGATTCTGGACTGAATCATTCTTGTCTGGCCACTGCTTCTGGGTCTCTCCTGAGGTCTGTCTGGCAGCTGCAGTTACCTGAACAGAAATGGAGGGTCCAGGATGGTTTAACTCACATGTCACATTTCAGTTGGCAGATCAAGGTCAGCTAGGAACCTGCTGAACCTCTCTCTTTCCCTGGTCTCTTACTTTTTGGTTGTCTAACTTGATCATTTCTCCAGTAAAACACATAGTGATATTTAATTAACCGTTTTTTTTTTTTTACCCTCTTCCATCATTATTACTTTATTTCTATATGGGAAAGCCAAATTTATATTACTTCATTTTTTTGCTTACATCATCTTACCTGGGGAATAAAGTGACCTGCTGTAAGTTTAAGAGGAGTCTGGTCTTTGAAATGGTTTCTAATTTGCTATTTCTTAAAAGACTGAATGAATAATTAGCTATCATATCATTTAATTAGTTTAATCATTTACATTCTTTTTCTTTTAACAGGCAATTGCTGGTTACTTTGATATATATTTTGAAAAGAATTGCCACAACAGAGTAAGTATTGTGAGTTATTGATAAGAATTAATTATGCAGAGTACATTGTATTTTATTTTTGTGCCCCAAGGTGTTTGATCATAAGCATTTTGCTGTTGTAAGCAATTGGAGCTTGTTTTTGATTTAGTGGACTAATGTACCATGATATTAAAAATCTTGTACTTCATCAGATACTTTTGAACTTTACCAATGCAGGTCATGTTCTCTACGGGCCCCCAGAGTACCAGAACACACTGGAAGCAAACAGTATTTCTACTGGAAAAGCCATTTTCAGTTAAAGCAGGTGAGAAATAAAAGAAGGGGAAAGTATCTTACTCATTCTAAAGTAAACAGTTTATATTTTAAAACCATTATTCATGTGTCAACTATACTTAGGACAATTTAACAGCTGCTAAGGTAAGATGTTCTTGGAGCTTCCCATCTATGTAAATTTCAGGTGGCATATCGTTTAATGAAAGATAGTTTAGAAAAATTTTAATTTTAAATCCAATTTTTACCTATTAAAATAGAGAATACATCATTTTTACCTGGCTAAGAAGAAATCTCACCAGTAGAAGTAATGCATAAATTAAAGAGAATGTCATTCAGTAGTTACTGTATTCAGAATACATTTGTAAGGAATTCTCCTGCTGTCTCTGTCCAGTTGTTCACATCTCTTACAGGTTCCAGGGGCTGGTCAAATTCTACATTCTTTTGTTTTAATCTCATTGGCTATTAATTTATTAGCACCTACAGTTCTCACATGTCCACATGTAAGAACTTGGAACTTCACTCCAAGAATTAGAACTTGATTATGGAAATTTTTAACCTCTTATTACATAAAATCATTGTATCCCACCTTCACTGAAAGCCTTCTGAGGACAGAAATGCTGAATGTGCAAGTTTCAATGAAAAGGTATCCTACCTCACTAGTAACTCAGAGAAAAACTAAATAACTAGGACTTGAGACACTTTCTCATCCGTTAATTTGGTGGAAAAAAAATACGCACAGCTTAATAGTGCCAGTTGCTGACAATCATGTAGACAAATGGAACTTTCACACCCTTTTGCTGGTAGTTTTAATTGGTATAATTTTAGAGAACAGCTTGATACCATCAATTTAGGTCTAAATGTAGCACCACTATAATCCAGTGGTTTTTCTTCTAGGTATGAACAGTCTCTCCCGCGACACGTGTACAAAATTAAATACTATGCTTTGTAGAAGTGAAAATTGGAAACATCCTGAATGTCCATCAGCAGATGAGAGAGAAATAAATATGAGGGATACATTGGATAAAGTCTCTACTAAAGGTGTTATATAATTATTTGTATCTGTGAAAAGCAGCACCAAACCAAGCATGCAAAATCACTCACACAATATATTGCTGATATGAAGTTTAAAATTTAGCATAAAAGTACCTCTGGGGAAGACTCAAAACAGGATTGGAGCATGCTACAAAGGGAATGTTACCTAGAATGAGCTGTTACTTTAAAACTTAAAAGAAGCTATGGCAGAAAGTTAGGATTTCACAAAGCTGAGTGGGGGGCTCCCAATGTCATTATATTAATCTCTATATATGTATTTCATAAGGTTCTAAGAAAGCTTTGATTTCACTGTGATGCATAAATTATATTTAATAGATGCAGATATACACCATGAGAAGAAAGCTGTCCTTTTTTTCTCACTTGCTGTCCATTTACTCACTTTGAAGTTTCAATGCTATGAAAATAAAGCCTTGATTTGTGTCATTTTCTGTGTCTCCTAAAAGCTTGAGCACAGCAAAACTGAAATGAGGCAAATACAAATGAAGTCCTTTTCAATCCTCATTTTTTGTGTTTCATATTTATGTCTCTCTGCTATTTGCACTGACCTTTGGAAACCTGAAAATGTTGCTTCTCCATCATAACCATTTTGTCATTTTACTGCTGGAATTTTAAAGGCGGTCTGGTTCATTCATGTTTTCATCTTGAAGATGTAAGAGAGCATTTGAGTTGATCCTCCAAATTATCTCCTACCTAATTACAACCAAATATTGTTTGAAAACTAGTGAAATTTTGAAATCCTAGCTATTCTTTACCTAATAATCCTTAGAGTCATTGGTTAATGCTTCACCTTCAACTTTTTCAAATCCTATGAGGCAAACATGTGACTCTAAGGTTGTCCTTAGACACCTTAGTCACCTGCATTTCTATATTACTTTCGCTGTTGTTACCCAAAGTATGTACTTATATTTAAATAGTAAGACCAGTTCATCACAAAGTTGTAGAAGCCTCTAAAATAATACTACTAAAAGAAAGATTTGAAAGGCAAATTTCAAAGTAATAAAAATGTAGTCTTGAGTTGTGGGAATAAAAAAAGTGTCATAAATAAATGTAGCACTTTTCTATATCATGCTGTACCTCTGATGGTAATACTAATGAGTAGAAGTTAGAAGTATTAATGGTAAGAGTAGGAGAGAGCAGGCAAATCAGAAAAGGAACTGTAGAAATCTAATAGGAATCCTCACACACACACCTTTTAGTGTTGTTATTATTATTGGTTGTGGTACTGGGGTTTGTACTCAGGGCCCCATGCTTCCTAGGCAGACATTCTACACAATCCTATTTATGGTTCCCACATAGTTGGGATGATGCTTACACCCAATTGTTGGTTGAGATGTGGTCTCCCTAGCTTTTTGCTGGGACTGGCCTTGAACCACGATTTCTCCGACTCTCTACCTCACAAGTACCTAGGATTACAGATTTGAGCCACCATGCCTGAGTTTAGGAAGTCCCCTTAAGTTTTAGATTACTATTAAGATAAGTACATGTAGAATGACATGCACAAGGTCAGGCAAACTGTGCACTGAACACTGTTTAATTCAGCCATTACCTGAACAGTTCTCAGAGTTCACAAAGGGCTGCAAGTGTTCAAGTTTCAGTTAGGTAGAGTGCAGTCCTTTTGCAGTGCATTCAGTAGAGATTCCAAAAGGATGATCTCCTTATTGTGGCAACAAAACTATCCCTAGAATAAAGTACACCTATATGCTTTAAAATGAGCCTTGAAAGGAAAAAAATAAACTGCAAGTAATTTATTGGCAGCCAAGGGAAATAGTAAAACTCAACACATAAAATTCTATAGCAAGAGAATATGGAAAGAGACTTCAAATGCAAATAGAACCTCTAGAGGTGGAAATTGTAATATCTGAAGTAAAAATGACATTTGCTGGGATTAGTGGCAGAAGAAAAAAAATTAGTGAACCACTGCAATAAAATCCCCTACAAAAATCAGGTGGGGAAGAAAGTAAAAAATAAACTTTGTGAGATAACAAGAGTCCCTAAAAAGAAGCCGGAATATGAAAGTGGTAAAAGGAGGGCACTGGATAATAGAATTGATGAAATACCAACCAGATTTTCTTACATTTGGTAAAAATTACAACCCACAGATTAAAGAAATTTAGTGAGCCCCAAGTAGGATAAACACATTTTAAAAACCCAACCTATAAACAAATTGCAGATTAACAAATTTAAAGCAAGATACCTTAATCTAAACCAAAGAAAAGGGAAACATTATATAGAGAGGAACAAAGAATACTCATCAAAAACTATGTAAGTCAGATGATAATCAAATGACATTTTCAAAGTGCTGAAAGAAAGTATCAACCTAGATTCTGTGTCTAGGAGAAACTGTAAGAAAAATGCGGAACAGACTTGGCATACAAGATACATATATATAATGTGTACAGTATATATATTCCCTCATGATTATAGATATAAAAATTCTCAACAAAGTATTAGCAAATTGAATCCAGTAGTATGTATAAAAGAGTAATAGGCCATGACCATTGGGAGCTTGTTCTAGGAATACAAGGCTGATTCAGTACTACAAATCATACAAAATGGTCTCCAGTGTTACAGGTGGAAGAAGAAAAACCCCAAAATTATATCAGTGCAGGAAAAGCATGGGCAAAATTCAAGACCTATTCATGGTAAACATAGCAAACTAGAAATAAAAGAATTCCTCAGCCTACTAAAAAGCATCCACACAAAATTCTACAGCTGGCATCATACTTCATGATGAAAGACTGAATGCTTTCTTCCTATATTTGGGACAAGGCCAGGCTCTTCTTTCTTTGCCACTCCTTTCCTCTTAACATTGGATGTCTTAACCAACCCAATAAGAAATAAGAAAACTAAGAGACATGAGAAAGGAAGAAATAAAATGGCCATTACTTATAGATATGATCATTTACATTGAAAATCCTAAAGAATCTACAAAAAACCCTGTAATAGAGAAAATGAATTTAGCATGGCGTGAGATAACAAGGTCAGTATACAAAAGTCAGTTGTATTCCATGAATATTTGAATGTGAGATATAACATCAAGAAAAATTAAAATCTTAGGGGTAAAAAGTTAATAAAATATGTACAAAATCTACATGCTCAAAACTGTAGAACATTGTTGAGAAACTAAAGAAATCCTAAGTAAATGGAGAAATGTACTGTGGTTGGAAATAAATTTCCCAGTTTCACTTAATTCAGTGCAATCTCAGTCAAAATCCTAGTTAGTAGAAATTAGCAGACTAATTCTAAAATTTATATGGAATGCAAAAGGCTTAGAATAGCCAAAATAATTCTTTTCTTTGAGAAAGAATCCTACGGATTCTAAACTGGATTCTACATGATTTCTAAACTTATTAAAAAGTTGTATTAGCGCCAGGCATGGTGGTGCACATCTGTAATTGCAGAATTCAGAAGTCTAAGGCAGGAGGATCTTGAGTTTGAGGTCAACTTAGGCTGCATAATAAGTTCCTATCTCAAAAAATAAATAAATGAATGAAATAAAATAAAAAAGGTTATGTTACTCCAGATAGTATAGTATTTGTGTAGATATATGGATCAATTAAACAAATAGAAAATCTATAAATACACTTTTTTCATCAGTTAAGTTTTTGCAAAGCCTGTATAATTCAATGGGGGAATGGATAGTCTTTCCAACAAATGGTGCTAGAACAACTAAATAATCACATAGGGAAGCAACAAGTCTCCATTCTTCACACCGTACACAAAACTAACAAAAACTGAATGGACCATAAATCTAAGTAAAAAAGCTTCAAGCTATAAAACATTTTCAGGCTTTGAGGTGACAGATTTATAAAAGTAAATATTGGCAAGACACTGAACTGTATGTGTAAAATGGGCACATTTTATTTAGCATAAATAATACTGTAATAAAGTTAGTTTTTTTAACTCCTCACTGAACAATTTCTTCAGGATAAAATACACTCCTTACCATGGCTCTTTATAATACAACCAGTTTTTTTC